GATCCTCCCACCTCAGCCTCCCAAGGCACTGGGATTACAGGCGTGAGCCACCATACCTGGCCTCAAAAACTTTTAGAAATAAGAACCCACTCCATGCTAGGCACTGCTTTGTCTAGAAGGCAGGGTCTGTCCCTGTTGCAGGGCACACTGACGTGCAGACGGGCTCACCCTGAGGTCACAGGACTGGGAAGGACAGAGCTTCGGGCTCCCGGTGAGAGGAAATGGGGCCTGGCCCACGGGAGAGCTGAGGCCCGTGTTTGGCCAGGACAGGGTGGATGGAGGCTGGGGCCTCAGTCGGGAAGATGGACAGGTGGGATCTGGGGTGGGCGAAGAGGGAGAGCTGGCCTGGATGGAGGCAGGGGTCTGAGGGCTGTGCCGTGGACCCTGTGAGGTAGCTGGGCTGTGAGGCTCAGTGGAGACCGGATTTGAGCCCTGGGACCCTACCCTGGGGTGGGCAGCAGACCTCAAGGCACACTGGCCCCGCCTCCCTGGATTCTCCCCGTATGCGCCCCTTGGAGGGGTAAACTACCCTCAAAGGGGCCCCACAGGCCCAGACACAAACTGGTGTCCCCAAGGGTGTGGGGGACACGGTAAGCCCCAGACCTCAGTTTCACCTTGGAAGTGAGCCCCGTGGTAGAAAATGGAGGTAAGTTTGGATGCAGTAGCTCACACCTGTGCTCCCAGCACTTTCCGAGGCCGAGGCGGGTGGATTGCTTGAGGTCAGGAGTTCCAAACCAGCCTGGGCAACATAGTCAGACTCCACCTCTGCAAAAAAAAATACAAAAATTAGCCAGGCATGGTGGCGGGTGCCTGTGGTCCCAGCTACTCGGGAGGCTGAGGCGGGAGGATTGCTGGAACCCGGGAATCGGAGGCTGCAGCGAGCTGAGATCCTGCCACTGCACTCCACCCTGGGCAACATAGTGAGATCCCAGCTCTGCAAAATAGACAAAAATTAGCCGGGTGTGATGGTGGACGCCTGTGGTCCCAGCTACTCGGGAGGCTGAGGCAGGAGGATCACTTGAACCCAGGAGATTGAGGCTGCAGTGAGCCAAGATCGTGCCACTGCCCTCCAGCCTGGGCGACAGCGAGAATTTGACTCTAAAAAAAACAAAAAAAAGGAGATGAAATTTACATAAAATTATCCACTTTGAACGGTACAGTTAAGTGGTTTTTGGTGCATTCACTGAGTTGTGCAACCATCACCGCCGTCCAGTCCCAGAACATTCCATCACCCCAAAGAAGGAAGCCCCGTCTCCGTCAGCCATCACTCCCCTCCCCTCCCCTCCCCCAGCCCCTGGCAACCACAGATCCACTTCCCGCCTCTGCAGATTTGCTTGTTCTGGACATTTCGTCTTTATTTTTATATAGTTTTTTATTTGTTTTTATTTTTTATTTTTATTTTTATTTTATTTTATTTTTTTTGAGACGTCATCTTGCTCTGTCACCCAGGCTGGAGTGCAGTGGCCAGATCTCGGCTCACTGCAAGCTCCGCCTCCCGGGTTCACGCCATTCTCCTGCCTCAGCCT